GTAGCCGTAGTAGTAGTAGTAGTAGTAGTAGTAGTAGTAGTAGTAGTAGTAGTAGCATTAGCAACACCAGAAGCAGAACCAGCACCAGCAGCAGCATCTCTAACTTCACTGCCACCATCCTCACTGTCCGTCTCACTATCCATTCTCTCTACCCTTCCTTACCACAATCATTATCATCGCCACGAGCCACAGCAAGAATGCAACCATAATCACCACAACTTGCATCCCCACCACTATCACTACACTACTACCACTACCATTACCCCCTCCACTATTACCATTACTACCTTGAACCACCACTGCTACCAACACAACTACCTTCACTTCCACTACTTACGCCATCATCGTTACAACCACCTTATAACCACCACCTAGACTACTACCACTGCCAACGCCACCACCACAGCCACCAGAGCAACCACTTACACCACCACCACCACTCCACCACTATCACAAACAGCAACAACAACAACAACAACAACAATAAGCAACAACAACAACATAGGTCCACCGACACAGAAAAACCGAAGCAACTCCGGGAATTTTCATCATTTCGAGAAGAAATTTATATCACATAAATCACCGAAACTTAACGCACATGATGGTATAACTTTTTAAGATATCCAGGAATTTAAAAAGTCAAGAACACCCCAAATTAAGATGAGCACAGAAGGATGCCTGTTGGCGCGATCATCACTCTCTCACTTTTCAAGCACAACGACAACATTAACTACAACAACAACAACAACAATAGCAACATCAACAACAACAACAACAACAGTATCCTTCTCATCTTCAACATGACCTTCTGCCCAGCTGACTTCAGTTATTCTGGGACGTACAACTATGAGGAACCAGAGAGCTTAGAATTACTCTCTGGGGGGACACTGGACTGCCTCACACGTCTCCCCAAGTAGGCGGTGACCCTGGCAAGAAGCACACACATTTGAATATTATCGTCTTGGAGTCTGGCAGATCAGCGCAACAGACGAATAACTGCCTCCCTTGCCGCCTAAACTTGCCAGGGCGCTCATATGACCTTATGCAGTTGCGAACGTCATAAAACACTTCCCAAAACAAACAAAAAAAGAACTCGTCGGCCACACACACATACAACAACAACAACAACAACAACAACAACAACAACAACAACAACAACAACAACAACAACAACAACAACAACAACAATAACAGCAGCTTAACTTTAACTTTTAACTTTTTCATCCTCTGTTGCCGTTAAGCGTCGAGGGGAGATGCAGTTTTCTATGGTAGGCCAGTTCCGCAACTCTTTCAGTTATGATTATGATTTCTCAGGGTTTCCTTGACACCCTCGATCCACCTTTTGCGTGACCTTCCCCTTCCTTTATAGCCTGAGTGCTTGGTGCTGTAGGCTCTCGAGGCTGGCTGGCCAGGTGACATACGCAACATGTGGCCAAACAATTAACATTTATTCTGTCTTTCAATGTAATGCAGGCAGGACTCAAAGCCGATAGCTGCTCTTACTCCTTCATTTCTCTGCCTGTCTCGTCTTGTGATGTTAAGGGTTTTGCGGAGACATTTCATTTCGCATGCGGGGATTTCGCTTTCATGGGTTTTACTTAATGTCCAGGTCTGGCACTGGTAGCATAATGTTGGTATGAACATTGAGGTGATAAGCTGTCTCTTTGTGTCCATAGAGATGATTGGATGACATAGGAGGGGTGCAAGCTGGTAGGTAACAGCGTTGGTTTTTTGAGTTCGTATTTCTATTTCAACAGCAGCAACTCTTTTTAATCTGATCATAGACCAAAACCAAGCCGTGCTGTGAACTGTTGTGAATATAACCAATGTATGTTTCGTGCGCTCATACGACCGTATGCAGTTGCGAACGCCGTAAAACCAGTACTAAACTAACACGCCAGCAACAACACAACAGTAACAACAAAAACAAAGACAAGAACAACAGCAACAACAAAAAAAACAACGACAACAGTGGCAGCAGCAACAGCAGCAGCAGCAGCAGCAGCAGCAGTAG